ATAATTATGTCTTACATGGTGTTTGAGCCGGCCTTCTCTGGGCCTTTTTGTGCTAGAAGCACTGCAGAACATGTTTTTTTTGTGCCTCTCTGTTTACACAGAAATCGGTTTATTTAGAGCCCTGGCTAGGGTTGCTAACACCACCCCTTCTGGCCCGGGACTGGGCTTGGGTTCCCTTAAGTAGCCTGAGCCCCTGCCATGCGTCCTGCCAGCCTTGGATTTACCACGCTGGATTTCCCGCCGCGCCCGTGTGCCTGTAGAGGTAGAGGAAGGAGAGCTTGTTGAAATCTTCCGCGCGAGGGCTTGGTTGTCAATGCATTGTAAGAAAACAAAGTTTGTAATTCTAGAACAGCTCTGAACGAGAACCAATTTGTCCGGGGGAAGCCTAGCTGGCCAGGAGTAAAACAAGCTGATTCGTCGAGGCAGAAGGCTTTAGGCCTTTCTGCCTCGGAGGAGGGCACCCATCCACAGCATGTTTTGGAAACGCCACTTCTGGTGCAACACCTGGCTGCTCACTGGAGGCCTTCCGGGCTCACCTGCTGTGCCGTTTTTTAATGGCCATTTTTGAAGAGAGCTTTGACAGCCGGCCAGAGAGGAGGAGGAGGAGGAGGAGGAGTCCAGGATTTGGGAGTTTGCTGCTGCAGGGTAGGCCTTTTCACTCTCAGGGCGACGAGAGCTTTTGGGGTTCCCTGGGCACCTCCAGTTGCATTCCAGAGCGACCAACATACAGATCATAGAGATCCTGGGCCAGGATGGTAGAGCTGCTGGATTGCCTGCAGCTAAGGTCAACTGCAGGGGGTCACTCGCCTGTCCCGGAGGGGGGGGTTGGCTGCCCTTCAACTGCCCTGCCGGTTCATAAGAGGTTTCTGGTCAGTCTTCTGCATGAGAATGGAGAAATACCAAACTCTTCCTTTTGCTAGGCAAAGCTTTTGCAGCTAGCTTTCCTTTATATTGTAAGGCTGAGCTGGGTTCAGTTGCAGAGGCCTGTGGCAGTTTTTGGGAAGTGCTTTCTGTAGCTTCAGGACCTCGTAGCTTTGTTGTATAAGGGTGGTGGTGGTGGTTTCCACATGGGGTCAGAGTTTTAGTGTATTCGTCTATGAGGCTAGGCAGTTGGCTTAACCCTTTCGTGGTTTGTTTGGCCCCCACATGAGAGGAGGCTCCTTGAGGCCTCTTCAGAAGGCCTCTTCATCTCGTCGCACTTGAACAGACTTGAAGGGAAGCAACTAATTTGCACATAGGCCAAGGCGTGAGGGAATTTTTACGACAGTGCCGGGAGCGGCGCTGTCGTTTCTTGGATGCAGCCGCATTTTGCTGGGGTGGGGGTGGGGAGATAAACATCAAGGAAAGGCCATTTGCAGAAATCTGCCGCTAATCCCGGAATCGTAAGGTTGAGCCGCGTCAGTTGCAATGCTTAATTTAGATGGGCGATGTTAATACTCAGTTTTAAGCACAATTCAGGGGTGGCCATCTGAAAAAGATCAGAAACAAACCCGTGGGAAGGGCGACAGGTAGGAGCAGATGTACGGGAGGGGGCATAGTGTGACTTCCAGAACATGGAGCAGTTGCTTGTGGAATGTGCATCCCCAGCCTTCCCTCTTTCTGTGGGAGGGAGCAGGCGAGAAGGGCCCCTTGGCATAACAAAACTTAAAAGCTTCTGTGGTCGCCAGGTTCGTGCGATCCTTGCCTCTGCTCGGCATGGTTTTGGACAATACGAAGCCTTTCTCGGGCCAAGATGGAGGCCTTGAGGACTGAGCTTTAGCCTTCAGCAGGCGGTCCTTTCTCAGTGGTGGAAAGGAAAGCGTGGTGGTCATCCCCGTCCACATTTTAGGAAGCAGTGCCGTTTGCTCCAGTTGCAAGGTAAATGGATAGTGCATGCATAGATGTGGGGGGGGGTTGGAACATTTTTGGCAACTTTGTTTTTCCATTTTGATTTCTCGTCATGCGCTATATAGCTTAAATAGTTAATTCGCCGTGCAAAGTATATGGTGCAACCGCAGATTCAGATCAGGCAAGTTTAAAGTTGTGAGGGATGTTTAAATGGCTGTCTCTTTAAAATGTGCATATGTGTACAGCCTAAGTGCCTGTAGTATGACTACTCCGATGCAAGTCAAATTTTATTCACTATCCCTTGCTCTGATGTAAGCATGAACTGGATGGATATGCCCAAGTGACACCCCTCCTCTCTGTGCAACTGTAGATTCAGATCAGGCAAGTTTAAAGTTGTGAGGGATGTTTAAATGGCTGTCTCTTTAAAATGTGCATATGTGTACAGCCTAAGTGCCTGTAGTATGACTACTCCGATGCAAGTCAAATTTTATTCACTATCCCTTGCTCTGATGTAAGCATGAACTGGATGGATATGCCCAAGTGACACCCCTCCTCTCTTCAGTAGTGGAGAGGGAGGGGATTAAAAACAAAAATAGGAACATCATAATCATCATCATCACACACACACACAACCTGCAGCTCCACTTAGTCTTCGCACCATCAGAATTCTGATTCAGAATTCTCAGTTTGAAAAATAGTACAGTGTAAGTGAAGCTAATCTTTTAGCATTCAAAATACAGGCATTTTTGACCTGATGCTTTGAAACAAGAACTTTTTCCCCCTCAAGGTCAATGGGTCCTTTGAGGTAGTGGAACCTTAAAGAAGGTCGTGTTGCACATTTTATTTATTTATTTATTTATTATTTATTTATCTATCTATCTATCTATCTATCTATCTATCTATCTATCTATCTATCTATCTATCTATCTATCTATCTATCTATCTATCTATCTATCTATCTATCTATCTATCTATCTATCTATCTATCTATCTATCTATCTATCTATCTATCTATCTATCTATTTATTTATTTATTTGATTGATTGATTTTTTACCCCGCCCCTCTAGACAATGTCTACTTGGGGCGGCATTTGTCCCATTCAGGTAGCTGTGGGTTTTCCTGTGGGAGAAAGATTGTGTTTGAATTAAAAGAGGGTGTGCTGTATTAATTACCAAGCCTTAAATATTGCACTACTTCTCCAATAACACAGGGCTGCTGTGCATGCAGACTCATGTGTAGATGGTTAATTTCTCATAAATCTAATTTTTAGATAGGTATTTGAGATGTTGTGCAGCATCATAAGTTGTTTTTTTTTGTTTTGTTAAATGAATGGTTGTAGCTCAGTGCTTTAAAGATGTTGCATAGAGATCAATAAAGGAGAAAAATAAGTGTCGTAAAAGATAGTCCATATTTTTGCACATTTAGCTACATGTTTGTATATGGACATCTGCCTAGTTAAGCAAAAATGGCTTGGGTTTCTAGATATGTTTTAAGGTAGCAGTGGGTGCTGTAAAAAGCCAGATGGATTTCTTAGTAAGCATTCAGCTTGTAGATGTTCAGGGGAAGGACTGGCCTGATAGTTTTGTTACTAAAATGGTCTCAAAATCCCTTTTCCATGCTGTAAAAATGAGATTTCTGTCTTGCCAAGCTCACGGTGAACTGTATTGGGCAGGTTGCCTTGTAGAGGCATTTGGGCTTCTGATGGCCGTTTGAGTTTATTTGGGTTTTTTGTCCTTCAAAGAGTGTTCTTTTTTCTAGTGAAGTCTTTCTAGAATTTCAGCAGGTGTAATGAGCGCTACAAACACATTCGGAGACGTCTGTTGTTCTTCTGATCGTATGCCAGGGCAAATTACTTTTGGCCACACGTTTAGGCTGTAGCTTATCCTAAACGCTGTGGAAGATGGGGCCAGCTGCTTTTCTCTCAATCCAGAAGGTAGGACCGGAAGTAATGCATTCAAACGGTAAGGATAGGAGATTTTCCTAAGTATTAGGAAGAATTTTAACCGTACAATTGATCTGACAGTGGAATGGACTCTGCTTCACTGAAGGTATTTAAACAGAGGTTGGCTGGCCTGCTGCCAGTGGGGTTTAGCTGTGGGTTTCCCGCTTTGGTAATGGGTGGGATTGGTGACCCTTTGGGGTACTTTTCAGCTCTACAGTGCTGTGGTTCTGTGATTCACTTCTCTTCCGTCCTCAGTGGAAGAATGCTAACATTTCTGAGATTCCTATCACTTCTGACTGGAAAAAAAAGTTATGAAAATTGATATAATGGCAAACATGCTAGGCCTGTTGCACTCCTCTTAGTGAAAGACATATACACTTCTCCCTTCAACAAAGCAATTCCATGTACTGTATAACTCTCGGGCCTGAAAAAAGTAACCACAAAGCACAAACAGTTGAGAGAGAGCCGGGGGAGAGAGAGAGAGAGAGAGAGAGAGAGAAGTTATGTCCATCATGGCTCTCTTCTGCAGCATTGAGAATCTTCTCTGTACCTTCTCTGTGGGATTCTGGGTGGCCAGAGGACTATTATTGGATAGTTATTTGCTGATCATGTATTTATTTATTTTTTAAAAAATCTGTGTATAACCAAAACTGTGCTTCTCAGAGCTGTGCAGTTCAGGGGAGAAATGTAAAACCTTCTAGCATTGGCATTGATTCTTTTTAAGTGTTCAATGCTGAGAAACGGAAAGGAACCACCTGTCCTGCTGGCCTGTTTCTGAGCCCGCACAGTGAGGATTCTAATCTCTTGCGGAAAGTTAGATTTCAGAAATCTCCCTAAAATGTTTTTCTTAAAAAGTTTAATGTCTGCTCTTTTTCATTTCAGAGGCCGCAACAGTGGCAAAGGGCCACCTCAACCGATGGTACGTAAATCTTTTAGTATTTTCTACGTTGCTTCTTTGATATATGTAGAGTGATGATCTGCTGTGTGAGACATATAAACATAATTAACATAGGTTTGTCTAATTACTTAATCCATATGTTGCAAGGAATGCATAAAGAAACTGAACTGATTATTGTCATTCCACAAAAATGTCTTTTTAAAAAAAATCAAAATAAGCAAACAGATGGCCTTAATGCACCCTTACCCTAGTTACCTCCTAGTTTACTTGCTTTGGCTAATGGATGATGTCACAAACCTAATGTACTTCAATGTAGACAGGGCAAGATCACACCCAGGCAGTGGGAAACAGCAGAGACAAGAGGACGTCCAGCTGATCAGTCGTCCAAACGATGATGGGGTGTTCATTTTTCTCCCTCTGTGGCTCAGAAGCATAAAGTAGACGGGAAAATGGAGACAGGCTCCGGTTTTGAGTTTCTGTCTTCGCTACATGTCCCCATGTGCCAGCCCATCAAAAGCCGTCGTTACTGGAGTGACGTTTCAGCTTGTATGCAGCTACCCGGACAGGAATCAAAGACAGAGGGTGTAGGTTCATTTGCAGGAATGGGACTGGATGAACCCTAGTGACGTTGTAAAAATCCATTCAGGTTTTTCCTTTCGAAATGTGCTGCTAGGATCACAGTCACATTGTGTGGAATCTGTCAAGCGGGGGTCCTGTTCGCGGTCCTCAGGAGGCGGGTGGCATCCTGATTTTGTGCCGTGTCCGTAGCACATCAGAAGAACATCCAGGTGTCTTGGACAAAGAGCATAAGTTGCAGATCAAAACCTGTCTGGAAATCTATAGATTTGGGGTTTATTCGCAGATAGCTTCTCTGGACTTGTCCACCCGATCTGTGCTTTGCTCTTGAACATTCAAGTAAAATCTGGATTGCTTATCATTGTCTTTCTGGGAATCTGGAGCTTTTAACCTTTACCTGTTTGCTTATTAAATCAGTAGGAAGCTTAACATGACTTCTGAAGTGAGTAACATGCAAGCGGTAAAAGCACGAGGTGGGCGATTTCAAGGGATTCCACTCATCGCCAATCTCACCCTTGTCCCCCAAATTTAATCTGCAGTTTTGTGGTGTGCTCAGATTCTGATGTCTTCTGAGACTTTTCCTTCTGTTCTTTTCCAGATTTCTTTTCAAGGCATATACGCAAACATGCGAATGGTTCATATACTCACCTCGGTCGTCGTAAGTTACCCCACAAATCTTTCTTTGAGCCAGCTTCACTTCACAACCGCGGAGGAGAGCTGCTTAGTGGTTTAGCGTGGCTTATTTCTAGGAAATCCCTGTTTCTGACAACATTTTCATTTGTCCCCTGTCTCTTCCTTTCTGGGGTTGGCAGAATATTTCGTTCTGTGACTTCCTCTTCCTGAGGCTAAACGGAAACTTCCAGTCTTCACACTTAAAACTGAACTTTAAGACAGGAGCTGGAAACCTCTATTTTTTTTCAGGCCATGGGCTAAGCTCAGTTTCAGAAGAGGTCCGTGGCCACCTTCTTCTACAACAGCCTCTTCCTGTCAACAGCTAAACCTTTGCACAGGCATTTCAACCTTTTTAATAAAATGAAGGTGGCCGTCGGGAGCCCTACAAACCCTGAGAAATGGCCAAACTGTGGTGTCTCAGGGAAAGTGGATGTGGCCACTTTTGGGGGAAGCCAAGGAAGGGTTCCCCCTCTGAGTTAAAATGTGAGCAGTCAGAAAAAATGGGACAGGCAGTGTCAGCCCCTGTAGAGGCTGTGGGGGTGGAAGGGCTGGAGTTCCCACCTGAAAGCTGTCGTTAAGAGCTTTTGTGCAGTTTTTTAAAAGTGCTTGGTGCTGCATTTCTTTGCTCTGTGGGAGGTTGTTTTCTAATCCCTGCCTTACAATGATAATAATATAGAGCTGGAAGGGACCCTGTGGACCATCCAGTCCGGCCCCTTTCAGTGAGGCCCAGTGGGGGAATCAAACTCCTAACCTCTGACTCCCCAGCCAGATAACCTCCTAATCAGTCTTTTTCTCCCCCATCCAGGGCTCAAAATGTGAAGTACAAGTGAAAAATGGAACTATATATGAAGGAGTTTTTAAAACTTACAGCTGTAAGGTAAGTGCTGTTGACTTTTTTGTTTGATCCTCTTGATTGCTGTGACTCTTTCAGATGCAGAATAATAGGTGCCGATCGATACCTAGTCTTCCTGGTTTTTACCTAAAGCACAACTACATACAAATGTCACATTTGACGTGACATTCTCCTCTGTTCTTGTTGATCATTTAGACGTGCCTAAAAGGATCCTAATAGTTAAGTTGTGCCAAAAAAATTTCTGTACCTTTCCCATTCACGTTTTGTGCTGTGGCAAATTAAGCCCTCTCTCTATTTCAGTGCGATTTGGTCCTTGACGCAGCTCATCGGAAAACTGCAGAATCCAGTCTGGGGCCGAAACGAGAAGATATAATAGAAACGATTTTGTTCAAGCCTTCAGATTTTGTTATGGTGCATTTCAAGGACATGGATTCCAGTTATGCACGAAGAGGTAGGATTATTTTCCCCCCTTTTATGTCAGAATAGGTTTTACAACTAACTGCACTTCCTAAATATGTTATTAAAACCTCAGCCTTTTGGTTTCTGTGTTAGGGTCAGTGGAAAGCTATCTTAGTTAGAGTCGGAAAACTAGTAGGTATAGATCAGGAAAGCTTTTTTCTGGTTGGCAGTAGATCGTCTAAGGTCTTGGGCAAAGTTCTCCTCCAGCTCTGGAGTCTTTTCAGCTTTAGTTTTGATTTTTGAAGACATCCTTAGCAAACTGGTGGTAGCAATTTATAGAGAGGAAGACTCCGTTGGAGGTCAAAGCAAGACTGGATTCATAAAGGAGGAAAGCAGCAGGTGGTTGAGCAGGTGAATATATCTGATGGAGTCATAAATGAGGTTGAATTGGGAGCAGTGGTTTTAAAGACTCTCTTGCATGTTCTGAAGTCAGGATTATACAGTGGCTCTTCATTGATGCCATCATATGAAGTAGAGGCCTGCAGTCTTGTATTCTTGGACTACAAGAATCCTGGGAGTTATTATCCCCAAACTCAACTCTCCACACTTGTAATGCAAAGCTTTTAATTTAAAAAAAAGTTTCCTCGTTTTTCTACTGTTTTAAGGAGGAGCTGGTGCCCCTGGATAGCCTTAGAGTTGGCTTACCCCTGTTGTCTTTAAAATAATACAAATGCTCTAAAGCTCAGGAGAACTCATGCCGACGTGAATTTACCTTTGGGAATCACGAAAGCTGTAGAGGAAACCCTTGAGCAGTCTTGCCAAGAGGAGGTGTGTTATATTAGTATCTTATTAGGTAACCTCTTTGGCGTTCTTGGCCTGATTTGACAGGAAGCTCTTTTGTAAAAACAAAGGCACTCTTCAAGATCTTGTATCTCTGAGCTGGTAGGGGAGGGGTTGGCTGACTCCTGTGAGCTCTGGAAAGGAGAGGCCAGGACTCTGTGAATCCTGCCAGCCTCTTGGCTTCTTATAATTTGCAGAGCCTCTGTTATGATTGCGTGGATTCCGTGAACAGAAAGCCCAGGACAGCTGACTCTTCTGTTTTCGTGTAGATAAGCTGAACCTGGTATTCAGGTTGGAGAGTCAGGAAGGGGATGATTCTATTCTTGGCCTCAGACACGAGGCATCCCGTGAACATTGCTGAGGGTTTTTTAAATCATAATATATTGGCAGGAAGAGCGGTAGGCAAGAAGACCATATATGTGTTTGTTTGTTTGTATGTATGTATTTACAGTGTTAAGTTCTAGAATTGTCATTCAGCCATCTTCTAGACTGTAGTTCTGGATAGCCTTCCCAGACCATGTGCCCTTGAAATCTTTGGATTGGCTTCCAGCCCTTAGGGCCAGCCTCATTAGTGGATGTGATGATGGCAGCTCGGCATCTAGAAGGCTCTAGTTGGGGGGAAACTGTTCTGAAGGACTGAGATGCCGCAATGGTCTAGGGTGCTTTGCTTTCATCTCCTCCACCCCTCGGCCACCCTGGTTAGCAGGCTTCCGTGCTGGCTGTGGTTGGTAAATTATGAGGAGTGCTGATCCTCCATATCATGAATGGAAGCAATGTTCTGGATCCTGTCGTGTAGTCACACCGGTGAAAGAGAAATGGCCTAACTCGCAGTGGCCAATGAGCGTGGTTTCAACTCCTTGCTTGAATTCCTCATGACGTGCCAGTTGAGCGTCTGGACCGCCCGACCAGGAATCCAAACGGGGACTCATTAAGTAGCCTTGATTTCCCACCCAGCAGTATTCCGTTTTCCTTCCACCGTTACCCCAGGGCTATCTCTGATCTAGAAATCTGTTATATTTCATTATGGTGCTTTCAGTTTTCCAGCATATCAAACAATGCATGAGGGCCTGGCCTAACTCTTAGTTGCAACCAGAACAAACCTGTTGAATCAGTGGGATTTCCATAAGCTTTGGTTCACTGTCCATTCAGCAATTGATTTCGTGTGTCTACCCTGGCGTTTTGGATTGAGACCCATAAAGGTTAATGGTATTTCCTGCTGCTTCCGCTGCTGTTAGTTTTCTCCAGGTCCTCCCCTGACTTTCTTGACAAACCAAGAAGCAAAGCCGTTTCTGGTGGCAAGTGGGAATTATTGAGCAGCACGTTTCCTACTTTTGCAGAACAAGCCGGGGGTCAGAGAGTGTTTTGCAAATCCAACCTATGCCTGTGCCTTCATAGCGTAGGAAAGGGAGGCTCAGGATTTGATTAACCCATCCAGGATTTTGTGGTCACGGATGTTAACTTTGGAAAGGAGGAAGGCATCATGTAGAAATGTTTTTAGCAAGGCCGTTGTTGTTTTTGGCTAGATAAGAGAATGTAAAGTGCCTGCCTCTCTCCGTCCTTGCTGTGATCTGACTTTGTTTTTATTTTCTTTCTCTTCCCGTGTCTGTTGTAGTTCCTTCAGAAACAGGTAATTGATTTGGCCATCTTCTATTTATGCACCTTGACCTAGCATAATGCTCTTGACAAAACAAAAAAAAACAAAAAAAACAGTGTGTAATGGATGCATTTTAACTTTGCTTGCCTCTCTCAGCCATGAGAAAGCATGCATGCTGTGAAATGGCACGTCAGAGGGTTTTAGTGAGTTGTCTTCTGGAGAGAGAGGAACTTAAGCCCTTTGCAAACCTCAGCTCTAGCGCCCTTGCCCCACTCACCGTGGAGTATCCAAAATAAGGTCATGAAGTCGAAAAAAGACGTCTGAGGAGCTTGAACGTGTTTCCTTGTGATCCAGGCAAGGGGGAAGAGTAAGCTTTGACAGAATGTATTTCTCCCTCCCAGCATTTCTGTATCTCAGCTGAAGTGGGATAAGGGAGGACTCCTTTCTGGCCATGTCAAGTGGCAGATGTGGTCTGGGGGGGGGAGTTGTATCCAAAGCAGTCGCTTTTTTCACACAGGCGGCTTTTATAGCAACAGCGAGGTCCCAAGACCCCTTGCTGTGGGATTCCCCGTCAAATGCAGCTTTAAAAGGGGGTTGGGGGTTTTGGGAAGGGGGACTCCGTCCATCCCTAAAATCGAAGGTGTCTCTCCATCCAGTTGCCCGGCAGGGACGCCATCCTTCTAAACACCTGCTCACTGCCCTGAAGTACAACAGGCAGACCTGAACCAGGATTTATCCAGGCCATCAAATTGGCGATTCCTGGTAATTTGCGGCTCTCAACCTAAATCAGGGATGTTGCCTGGGCAGTGTGAACGCGAAACTTCCAAATTGCTGCTCTCTCCATCGGCGTTCCAGTAGTTCCTGGGAAAGAAACAGCTATCAATGGGAACAATGTTCCTGGTCTTTAGCCTACCGCTGTTTTCCGGCTGCTTGGAGGTCTACCAACACGGCTCTAAAGCCTTCCTCCTTTTAATGCTCAGCCTCTGCCTCCCGGGGTGGTGGTGGTGGTCAGGTTTTTAACCCTTTAACTTCCCGGCTGATTTTGGAAGTGGGCCCAGATCAGTTCTACATGCACAAACCACACTCCCTCACCTGTTGTGAAAAAGAATCCCATTATTTGGCCCCTGGAGAAAACCATGTTCCTATTTCTCCATTGGATACACACCCCAGTTCCTCAAACAGTGACACCAGGTAATAGGCGTCTGCTGTCCCACAGGTAGCCCATGCCAGTCTACAGCTGCCTAAGGTATCACTTGAAAAATCGCCACCTCCAAAGCAAGCTGCTTTTTTTTCCTAATCACCTCTCAGAAACAAGCCAGGCCCAATCTCCCACCATGAATTTTGGGGACTCCCATTTATGACTAATTTTTTTCTGCACTGTCCAAAAGACACCCTTTGCGTTTGGCCTGAAGAAGTGGACTTTGAACCACAAAAGCGTGCAGATGGTTTGATGTTTTTTAACGGGTCTGACAAAAGCATCGCCTGCCCCTGCCTTTGAAATAAAGGTGCTAGTCTTTGAAATGCATCCTGATTCGACCTCCGGCTAAGCCTGCTCCGTCTAACAGCCCGCTGCAGAACCCCTTTGCACACAAGTTCAGTATTGAATGCCTACAGCAACTCAGCACAGATGTCCCTCTTGGAGAAAATCCGGAAATCCGCATGTTACTATTTCGCCGTGTTAAGATCATCTTTGCTCTTGGGTCGCACTTGCTCTTAACGAGCCGTACATGAGCTGTACTCTTTGAGTTTTGTGTGGCCGTTTTATTAGGCGTTGCAGTACGTTGCCTTTTGCCACGCCCAGCATGAAATGTAATGTTCTTGCCATAGAATTTCTGTAAACAGGGGTAATGCATGATTCAGGCTTTGATAAGGAATTAAACCAATCCCCCATGGGATCTACCTTGTGTGTGTGTGTATGGCGATCTCCAGTGGCCGTATGATTTTTTTAAAGAGGACAATTCCTCTCTACGCAGGAGGTGGAGCCCTGATAAGATGTTGAAGCTTATAGTCTTGTACATAACTGGAAATAAAGCCCCTTGAAATTAATAGGTCTCAGTTCAGATTAGGCATGCAGAAGATGGGTTGTGGCCTGCGGAGGGGGGGGGGCAGCTCCCTGTTGGACAGTTATAAATTAGAGTTAAATCAGACGTCCTTCAGCAGTGTTTCACACAGACCTGCCTTTCTTAACCTGTGTTGTTGTTGTTTTCTTCTTTCCCCCAATTTAATTTTTTACTCGCAGATGCTTTTACAGATTCTGCCATCACTGCTAAAGTTAATGGTGAACATAAGGAGAAGGATCTTGAACCCTGGGATGGAGGCGAAGGCATCGCTCCAGATGAACTTGAAGCTTTAGAAACCGACGTTGTAAGCAGAACTCTCCTTGGTTTGGGATTAAAGGAAGGGGGTCGGGCGGCTCGAGGACCAAGCGTGTGGGTCCTCGCTTTTGAGAGTGGGGTTGCAAGCTTAGTTTACATGTGACCCTTCAAAGAAACCACTGTTACAGGCGAGGAGACCTGTTCTTGTGAAAACCACAGCAAGAGCCTCTGAGTCACCGGGCATTCTCTGGGGGTTTTGCACTCTGCCCCCCATAGAACGTGTTAAGAGGGACCCTTCCCTCTCCCGTTCTCTTACCAAATTGGTCTAGGTCTTTTACGTAGTCCTCCTCTTGAGGGGAAGTTCTGCTCAGAGGTTCATGAATATGGAAATTGGTCAGAATATTGCTCGGCTAACCTTCTTGTGCCTTCAGAGTGAAGGGTTTCTCTTTTAAACCAAACAGTCTTGATGCAAAACTAAATCCTTTTGAAATTTAAAAAGGATTTGGGAGTGAGAATAGAAAAGGTTCTCTAAGAACTTGCTCACTTTTGTAGAAATATTTCACTGTTTCGGGATCTGTGCATTCATGTTTATTTCAGTCCTAGTCTATTCCAGTCCTCTCTTCTTGTTGTCTTGCAAATATTTTAGTTTTATTCTCGGTTTTCTCCCCTGCCAAATAAAATTTGAGAGCTGTTTTCTCCACAAATGAAATGGCTTGTTATTTATCATTATTGGGATACAATATCATGAGCAAACATTTTTCTTGTGAGCCATTTAAAAACACACACCCTTTTTTATTTTTTGCCTTCTAGTCCAACGGATGGGATCCTAATGACATGTTTCGCTACAATGAAGAAACCTATGGTGTAGTATCGACTTACGACAGCAGTTTATCTTCGTATACGTAAGTTGTAATGTGTCCTGTGATTCTTCCCTATTTATTTCTTCTGGTGATTTTTATATTGATTACTTCCAGGTCCTAACCTGGTAAAGATGGAGACTGACATCTAACAGATGTGGGTGGATGTGTATCTCTTAGGCATCATATTTGAAAAGTGAGAGGTCACAATTTCAATCTGTACCGCTTGAATAGTTGGTCCACATCTCCTTTATATATATATATATATCAGTCAGAATGAAGAACTTTTTGGTGGTGGTGGGGTTTGAGCAGAGAGAGCTTTCTCCTGTTTTATTTTGTAATAAGACCAGTTCTGGTATCTGAATCCTTGGTAATCTCCTTTTGCCTTTCATACATGGCATTTTACCAATCTGGTGGCTTCGCAGCAAGCTTTTTTTTGTACCGTGAACCACTCAGTGTGTTTCAGATTACACCCCCCAATTCTTCATAATTAAGTGTCTTCTGGAAAGTAATTTAGCAGGTACAGTAATTATAACTCCCAGGGCCTGCCGGTCTTCATGGGAGGACTGGCTTTAAAGCCACAGAATCAGAGATGGAGAAGCAGAGGAGTTCCTGGACCAAAAGGGAAAAGTGGGCAGGCTTTTGAGTGGGAAAACTGCCGTTACACAGAGTCAAGCTGTTGCATCATCGTCGTCATCATCACCACAAACAACCATCCCTTGGCGCCTTAGGTGCTCTGACTTCATCCCTTGACCCGCTCTGTCAGTACGATTCTGGAAAGGACGCCAGGCTTTGACTCCCCGTCTCCTTCACCCCTTTGTCTCACCTCTTTTTCTCTCTCTCTCTCTTTTAGAGTACCCCTAGAAAGGGACAACTCGGAAGAATTTTTAAAACGGGAAGCCAGAGCGACCCAGTTAGCCGAAGAAATCGAATCAAGCGCACAATACAAAGCTCGAGCTGCTTTGGAAAATGATGACCGATCAGAAGAGGAAAAATACACGGCGGTTCAAAGAAACGCCAGCGAGCGAGAAGGACACGGCGCAGCCCCCAGGTATGGATGGAGGAGGAGGAGCAGGGGGCTCCGGCCCGAAGCTGGTTAGAGTTTATTATGTAGGGCTTGGAAGTAGCCCATCACATATCGAGGATTTCAGATCTTCTCTGTCGGAGTATGTTTCTTTGTAGCCGTCCGTGCGTCTCGGATTCTTGGTTACCTCCTGTGGC